CTCCCGTTGTTTCCCCTCCCTCAGGCCCGCGTGGAGCGCATGGAGCAGTTCCAGAAGGAGAAGGAGGAGCTGGATAAAGGCTGCCGCGAGTGCAAACGGAAACTCGCCGAGTGCCAGAAGAAAATGAAGGAGCTGGAATTGGCCGAGCCGGAGAGCGGCAAAGGGGAGCTGGAGAAGCTCCAGGCCGAGGCTCAGCAGCTGAAAAACGAGGAGAAAAGTTGGGAGAACAAACTGGAGGAGCTGCGGAAGAAGGAGAAGAACATGCCCTGGAACGTGGACACGCTCAGCAAGGACGGCTTCAGCAAGGTGGGTGTGGGGCAAACCCCTCCTCTGTGCCCCCCTCACATTCCCTGAGGATCCCCCCAAAAAATATTCCACGTTTTCCTGCCCTTCCCCAGAGCGTTTTCAACGTGAAACCCGAGGAAAAGGAGGAGACGGAAGAGCAGAAGGAAAAGAAACACAAAACTTTTGTGGAGCGATACGAGAAGCAGATTAAACATTTTGGTGAGTGTTTGAGGGGGGTTTGGGGGCACCTTTTTAGGGTTTTCCAACTTTGGGAACCCCTCCTGGGTGTTGGGAGCAGCTGGGAATTCCCTCACTGTGCTGGAAAATCGAGGATTTTATGCGTTTTTCCCATTTTTTTCCTGTAGAAGCACAATTTAGAGGGATTTTTATTAAACCTTTATTAATCCCTTTTCTCCCCAGCATTTTCCCAGTGGGATTTGGAGCACAATCCTCAATGAAGGAATGAAAATCCTCCCTTTTTTTTTTCAGGAATGCTGAGGCGTTGGGATGACAGCCAGAAATACCTCTCAGATAACCCTCACCTGGTGTGTGAGGAGACAGCCAACTACCTGGTCATCTGGTGCATCGACCTGGAGGTGGAGGAGGTGAAAATTGGGGAGAAATCGGGGGAAATTTCATTCTCCAGGCTGGAATTGCTTTGTCCTCACCTTTTCCTGTTAAAAAGGGAGGGAATTGGGGAATTAGAGGGTTGATAAAATAGGAAAAGATCTTTAAAATCATCCCATAATGGCACCCACACATTCCTTGAGGAGAGGGGTTCACCCCCAGACCCCCCATTCCTGCAGCTCCAGGGTTTTCCTGGGATGAGGAGCCACAAAATTKGGAAATTTGGGAATAATTTGGGTTCAGAAAGATCTTTAAGACAATCCAGTCCTGCTGAGTCTCACCCCATTGGCCCCAACGCATCGATCCGGGGATTCCTTCCTCCAAATCATTATTTTTACACTGAAAAGGGGTTTGAGCTGAGCAGGGAAATTGGGGAATTTTGGGATTTTCACCCCGTTTTCCCCACAGAAACACGCGCTGATGGAGCAGGTGGCTCACCAGACCATCGTCATGCAGTTCATCCTGGAGCTGGCCAAGAGCCTCAAGGTGGATCCCAGGGCCTGCTTCCGGCAGTTTTTCACCAAAATCAAGGTAAAAATCCCACCTGGACACCCCAAAATCCCTCCCAAGGCCGAGCAGAGCCCGATTTCCACAGATTCAACCTCAAAATTTTTATTGGAGTTTGTCCAGGAGGTTGTGGCAGAGGGGAGGGGAAGGGTTGGGGTGGGATTGGGGTTTGGGGTTGCAATTGGGGCTTCAGGGAGTGGAAATGGGGGTGCAGGACCCCCCTGGAGGCACAACTCAGCCCCAATTCCCCCTTTTTTACCCCCAAATCCTCCCCTTCTCTCCAGGACGGGAGGAGACAGAGCTGGGTGATCCCAGGGGTGGATTTGGGAT